TGTGCACCACCACGGCCAGCCTCCAGGATGCTTTCTAAAACAACTTAGCAAAACAGGAAGTGTGGGCCCCCTCAGCTCTGAACCACTGGGTGGGGCAGGCTGGAGGATGCTCTGAGGCCATCTTGGCTCCTTAGAGCCTTCTCCTAGGCTACACAAAAGGGGCTGCTTGTCTGCAGCCCACAGCATTCTGGACCCTAGGCCGGGAACTCAAAGGTCCTTCTTGGTACTCGGTGATCTTCCAGGGTTTTGGTCTTCCCTCAGAAACCTAGGCAGGAGAGATGTCTGAGCAGTTTAGAGTATCAACCTGATAACTCATAACCGTTTGTGACTCCAATTCCGGAGGATATGATACCCTCTCCTGGCCTCTGTGTGTTCCTGGCAGGCATGTGGTACACAGGCATTCACATGCATATAGACACACAAATAAAATAGTAAGTTTCTGAGATTTTTTTTTTTAAACTGGGCATGATGATGCATGCCTTTAACCCCAGCATTTGGATCTTCAAGTTTAAGGCTAGCCTGGTCCTACAGAGATAGTTCCAAGACAGCCAGTGCTACACAGAGAACCCCTATCTCAAAAACAAAACAAACAAACAAAACCCCTGAGCTGGGCACAGTGCCCATGCCTATAACCCCAGGGTTCCAGAGGTGGAAGCAGAAGGATGTGAAGTTCAAGGCTTTTCTCTGTAATATAGTGAGTTTGAGACAAGGGAGTGTAGGGCAGAATGACTGTCCAGCCCAAATAAGCCTGGGTTCTGCTTTGCAGCCCCGCCCCTAAATTCCTCCTATATCCTGCTGGCTGGTCAGAACGTGAGGGCCCAACTGACTGATTTTCCCAAAGGCCCTGCAATACCAGATGGACATAGTTCGGCTTGGTTTGCCATTGGTCTCCCGACCAGGCATGGTTCTCACACATGTACCCTAACACTGGGGAGGCTAAGGCAGGAGGATTGCAGTTTCAAGGTCAGGCTTGGTGACATGGTGACAACGGCTTTGAAAGTGAGGTGTGGGGGTACTTTGGTATTGGAAGGGTGGGCTGCACGGGGTGATGGCTGGAAGGGAAAAAGTAGACTGAAAGTATCTGTCCGGACCCCCGAGCGCCACCTCCGGCTCATGGAGCCCAGACGACATCTCTAGCCTTCCCAGCAAGGTGGGTGTGGCTGCTGGCCCTCACTCTGCCTTCCTCTGCAGGGAGAAGCACTGGCTACTGAGGCGGGAAACCGAAGCAGACATCTCACCCACAGGTGGTGGTGGAGGTGGGTCCCTCCTCTCTGGGACTCAGGTTTGGTGGCCTCAGCTGCCTCCAGGGGCACATGGGTGGGGACTGTCAGACCTTTGAAGCCATACCTGAGCACCCTGCTTTGTTTCTGCATCTAGCTCCAGAGGACCCACTGACCCAGCTGCTCCGTGTGCTGCAAGACCTCCGAGAAGCCCACAGCTCCATTCTGGCTGGCCCCCCGCCCAGAGAGCCCCATCACCTTCTAGAGCTACAAACGTGAGGTGTACACTGGGCGTTTGGAGACCCCTGACACGCTCAGGGTCCTTGTCACAGTCATCTCTTCTGGGGAGGGCCATGGTCCAACATGGCCTTCTCCATGTCTGTGGGAGACGATGGTGGCCCCTGCTTCTTTGGGAGGCCCGACTGCTCCTCTAGTCCCCGCAGCCCAGACTCTTCACCCAGGACACATCCAACCCTAGGAAGCTCGGAACCGGGAGACCAGGTTGTCCCCCCTTGCACAGCCTCACTCCCAGCCACAACATCAGCCCTGCCACTGTGTGACCCTCTATGTTGGGTGTCACGGTGCTCTGCTGTCATTAATAAACCTGCTGTGACTGCTGATGCTCTGAGGAGGAGTGAATCCAGGGAGCCCTTGATGGGGCTGGGGTTTGACCAAGGACTGGGACCACCAGCATGGCCTCCCTGCAGTCCCTTACCTTGTTTTTTTTGCTCCGCATCATGGGTGGTCATGCCTGTTTAAACTCCCAACTGCAGTCCCAAACCTTTCCCCACACCTCTCCACTCTGAAGCCTGGAGCCTGATGGCTCTGTCCAGCTGGACGCAGCCACCACAGAAAGCCCCTGTGCTCGGGGCCGTCCTTCCAGACCACACAGTAGAGCTGGCTACAATGTCCCCTTCCATCTTCTACGGGATAGCAGGCCAAATTGCCCGTGACTCTGGTCAGGGTTAGAGAGGGGTGCGGGGCTGTGATGATGGGAAGTTGGATTGGGGATGGGGTGATTAGGATGTGAGTGGGTAGCGTTCCTGTCACTTCTGTCGTGACTCCCAAGCCACATGTGTTTCCATGGCTGGAGCTCTCAGGTGTAGGGTGGGCAGGACCTTCAGGCTTTTGAAGAAAGAGAAGCCTAGGAGGTATTCATCAAGGCTAGCAGTTCTCAAACTACCAGTGAAGACTCCTTTGGGGTTGTTCACAGGGGTTGCCTAAGACCATTGGAAATATCAGATATTTGCATTATGGTTCATAATAGTAGAAAAATTACACTTAAGAAAATAATTTTATGGTTGGGGGCCACCACAACATGAGGAACTGTGTTAAAGGGTCGCAGCATCTGGAAGGTGGTTGAGAACCACTGTCTAGACAGACTCTTGCCTCCAGGATGTCCCTAAATGAAAATCCTCTCCACAGCAGCGCCCCCTGGCTGCAGTTCTGCTCTGCTCCCACACAGGGATGACTAGAGGGCATTCAGCCCCCAATTCAAGCTGTGTGTTATTCATATTTTTTTTCCAGAAGAGTTAAGACAGGATTTGTCATATGGCCAGGGTAGCTTCAAACTTGCTATATAGCCAAGGATGACCTTGAACTCCTGATCTTCCTGCCTCCACCTCCAAGTGCTGGGATTGCAGGTATGAGCCATGCAGAGTTTGTGCAGGGCTGGGCATTAAACTTTAGGTGCCATGTCTGTTCGGCAAGCACTCTTCCAACAGAGCCACATCTCTAGCCCCTTTATTTCTGAGTGTCTCATGTGGTCCAGGCTAACCTGAAACTCAACTGTCCAGCTGAGGGTGACCTTGAACTCTTGATCCTCCCGACTCCATCCCCACAGTGCTGACATTACAGGCTTGAGCCACCACACTTGAATTCAAAACGTGTTCTCAAAATCACACTTGTGCTGGTGGTGCCATTCAGTGGTAGGATGCTTGCCTGGCATACACAAGGCTCTGGGTTCGATCCCGGGGGGTCATAAACAGTTCAACCAACACAAACAATAATTAAGTGGTACTGGCCAAGGCATGGTCTGATTTCTCATTGCCTTAGCTCTGACTTGCAGGGTGTCTTGAAGAGGCAAACTCCTTCCTGTGAGATAATGCCTCCTCACAGGGTGATCTGCCTTCAAGGCTCTGCTGTTCCTAGAATCGAAGGTGACTACAAGCTTTGAGCTGTGACTCGAGAACCTTAGATGGCTTCCTGCTCTTCCTCCCTCTTCCTCTTCTTCTGAGTTTGAAAAGAGACATAAAAACTGAGCAAGATGCCTGCATTATCTTTGTGCCTTCTGCCTTGCAGGTGGATGAGCTGGGCTAGGTATCACTGGTTCTTGGGCAGACACTCTGGGAAAGCCAATGTGCAGAGGCAAGGGGGAATGTGATTCGGTGTTTTAAGGGCTCCAAAGTCCTCTGGCACCTGGCATTGTCTTCACTTGTTTCCTGAGACACTGCATCTTCCATGCTACACAGCCATGTACCAATGGCTAGGGTGGCTCATGCCTGTTAATCCGACTGGGAGACTGAGCCTGTATTAGTTACCGTTCCTGTCACTATGTCTACAAACCCGACAGAAGCATCCTTGGGAAGGTACCATTCATCACGGTGGAATGTCATAGCAACCGGAGTGCCAGGCAGCTGACCACCTGCCACCCGCTTCCAGGAAGCAGAACGAGATGATTTACTTTCCTCTTTTATTCAGTCTGAGAGCTTAGCCTCTAGGATGGCGCCATGCACATTAATGGTGAGTCTTCCTTCCTCAGTTAAACCAGTCTAGAATCTCACAGACACACCCAGAAGTTTTATTTGTTTTAATTATACATTGTGTATGCACAGGGAGGTCAGAGGAGTTGGTTCTCAACTTCTACCACATAGGTCCTGGGGATTGAACTCAGTCAGGCTTGGTGAAGCTGTCTTGCTGAACCCACCTAGAGCTCTGCTTCCACAGTGTACCTAAATCTCATCAGGTTGACAAGATGAACCGTCATGGAGGCTGGAGAAATAACTCAACAGTTAAGAGGCTGACTACTCTTTCAGGGGACTAGAGTTCGGTTCCCAGCACCTGCTTTGGGTGCTTCATACGCACCTGTAACTCCAGCTCCGAGGGACCCAACCCTCTTCCGGTCTCTAAAGGTACCTGCATGTATGTGCCACACAAACAGGCAGATAGAAATCTTTATAAATAGGAAAAATAGAAAACATTAACTGCCACAGAGACCGCTGAAAAATGGAGAGGTGCCAGCTGTCATTGTTTTTGGTGCTCAAGAGAGGATTCACTGGCACCCCACCACCTTTATAACCTTCCTGCTCCCCTGCTCCTCACCCAGACGGGATGCTGCATCAGCAGCCCACTCGGGACTTTACTCACACAGCTCAGATTCCAGCTCAGTGCGGACCAGTGAGCCAGTTGCAGGTGGCCCAGCCTTCCCCTTGCTGGAACAAGCGCCAAAGAGTGGCCTGGTGAAAGCAACGGACAGGAGGACAGGACTTCTTTTCGTTTGGTTGGTTTTTTTGTTTTGTTTTCGAGACGGGGTTTCTCTGTGTAGATTTGGAGGCTGTCTTGGCATTCGCTCTATAGATCAGGTTGGCCTTGAACTCAAGAGATCCGCCTGACTCTGCCTCCTGAGTGCTGGGATTAAAGGCGTATGCCATCTGGTCGGATGGGGCAGGATTTCTAATCTTGACCCTTATACACAGCTCGGGGCTCACTGGGCCTTGCCTGCGTGTGCCTGCGGAAGGTCATCCGGCCCACCAGGGGGCGCGCCGCCAGGTGCTTGCTTTGATCGACTGCGTCTGCGTGACCCGGAAGTGGTCGCGCGTCGGAGCTCAGTGTGGTGACGGCGGCTGCCGGTTGGAGCCTAGGATCCTGAGCGCGTCTCTAGGATGAACGCACCTCCGGCTTTCGAGTCGTTCTTGCTCTTCGAGGGCGAGAAGAAGTAAGTGGAGGCCGGCGGGGTGCCACTGCTCCTGCCCAGGGGAACCGAAGCGGGCTTTGCTTTGGGCCTTGTGCTTCGTGCGCGTCTGCCCAGCTTCAGGCGGTGGCGCGAAGCATTGGCCAGCGCATCCATTTGGCTCGGGGACATTGTGTCCCTTGCTCCAGACACTTAGGAGGTGGCTGGCCTGAATTCGAACCCACAGTGTCAGGCTCCAAAGCTCTTTTCACCGGTCTGCAACACCGCTGTCCATGCTGCGCAGTAATGGCTTTAGAGCGCACACTGCACTGGACCCGGTGTAACCCTCTCTATCCTGGAACTCTCTCGTAGATCAGGCTGGCCTTGAACTCGGAGATCCACCTGCCTCTCGAGTGCTGGGATTAAAGGCTTGTATTTTAATATGGGTTTAAGCAGACGGTTCAGAGAAAGAGAGGCGCTAACAAGTAAATACCCAAGTCGGGGATATGTTTATTCAAAGAGAGTAGGGGGAAGTAAAATGTACTTGTGTGGGTACAGACTTCTCCAAGAGAAAGTATCTCATTGTTTTTGGTTTTGCTTTTGGTATTTTGAGACAGGGTTTCTCTATGTAGCCCTGGCTGCCCCAGAACTTGCTTTGTAGACCAGCTGGCCTCAAACAGCTCCACCTGACTCTGCCTCCCAGGTGCTGGGGTTAAAGGCGGGAGCTAACGTGCCGGGTTGCATGTAATTGTCTTAATGGTAGGCAGATACACCCTTTTGCTGGCCCAAACGTTCTGTCTCGGAAGGTTACTAAGAACCTTTCTTTCATGAGTGACCCCCTTCTTTTTTAGTTATATTTTATGTGCATTGGTGTTTTGCCTGTATGTATGTCTTTGTGAGGGTGCCAGGTCCCCTGGAACTGGAGTTACAGACAGCTGTGAGTTGCTATGTGGGAATTGAATCCAGGCCCTCTGGAAGAGCAGGCAGTCTTTTTAACAACTGAGCCATCTTTCCAGCCCTGAGTGCCCCCCTTCTTGGAAGTCAGCTTGGGCTAAAGTGACACCCTATCTCAAAAAACAAAACAATTAAAAATGTATGGAGATAAACCACAGTGGTAGATTGTTTTCCTAGCACACACAGGGCTCATTTCATCTCCGTATCAGTCAGTAATGAAGTTCAATAAGATTCTCCAAGTTTGTCTGTATAGTGCACAGTGTATACTGCAGGCCTGTAACTGACACCTCTCACTCCTAAGAGACTTCTCTGCAGGGTTTTATGTTTGATCTTTGCTAGCTACTTCAGCCTCCATTGAGGGCATATTCTCAGCTGAGGCCCCTGTGGGTGCCCCATCAGCAAGAGCATTTGGCCATGTCTGGAAACATTTTCTGGTGTTCCAAGGGGGTTGCTATTGACATCTGGTGGATAGAGCCAAAAGATGCTGTTAGTCTTGGTGTATTAGACAGCCTCGCAGGAAAAAAAATGGTTAGGTCTAAAATGCCCATGGCTTAGACACAGGTACCCACGGTCACGCCTAATGACTTCAGTTTAATTCCCGGGACCAGCATGGTAGAAGCAAAGAACTGACAATTTGCAGGTTGTTTACTGATGTCTTCCACACAGGGGTGGACAAAGGAAATACATATTTGTGTATTAAGTTTGAGAAATTCTGCTTTAGAAAAAAGAAGCAATCCTTAACCAGGTGGTGGTGTTGCTCTTTTGTTACAGTTTAGGAATAAAAGCTGGAGAAAGGGGGTGGTGGTCCCGAGTGGGTGGGATCCCAAGGTAAGGGAGCCTGTGGGAGAGCATAGCAGGTTCCATAGCAGGTGAGGGTGACCAGGGCGGGAGGGAATAACACGCCAGGCAGATAGAGCTTAAATGAGGAGTTTATTTAGAAAGAGGAGTGTAAGGAGTAAGGTTTTTTTCTCCCGCCGCCGGTCTTGTTCCACCGCCGCACCAGCCCCAAATAACACACTGAGACTCTGTATTTGATATAATGCTGTTGGCCAGTTACTTGTTTCTTATCGGCTAGCTGTCTTAAGTATTAACCCATTGCTGTTAATCTACGTATTTCCACATGCTCTTACCGGCTCGTCTCCCCAGTCTGTCCATCTTGACTCCTCCTTCCTACTTCCTCTTTCCTCCTAGTCCCTCCTATCTTGCTTTCCTATTGGCCAACAGTGCTTTATTCATTAACCAGTATGAGAAACATATTTACAGAATGGCATCTCCCATCAAGTGAGGGGGGGAGAGAAGAGGAGGGGGTAACTGGAGGCCAACCGAAAGAAGGAGAGGAGAGCAAAAGAGCATAAGTGGGCAGGGGTCTTTTAAGGGGGTCCTTTCCACCTGCCTGCGGACTAGTACTCATGGAACCCTGGGCTGACCAGAACACTGCCTGAGTGCATTCTGCCAGGTGGCAGGGGCAGGCCAGTGTAATGCCTGAATCCTTACAGCACAGCATGCAGGAGGCACAAGCAGGTGGATCTCTCAGAGTTCAAGGCCAGCCAGGGTTACATAGAGAAACCCTGTTCAAAAAAGGAGCGACCCTGTGTAGGTAAGGGTCCCTGATGTACAGATAAGGTGCCACCATGGAGTAGAGAAGGGTCTTTTTGTCATGCTGGGGACTGGACCCAGGTCTGGCCCATGCTAAGTTACTGTTCTATCACTAAACAATACTCCAGCTTTTCTGTTTTTGTTTTTTTTCTTTTGGTTTTTTAAAACAGGGTTACTCCGTGTTGCCCTGGCTGTCCTAGAACTTGCCCTGTAGTGTGGGCTGGCTTTGAAGTCACAAGGTCCTCCTGCCTCTGCTTCCTAAGCGCTGGATTAGAGGTGTGTGCCCCCACCCACCACATACACTTTTGCTAGGCTGGTGAGATGCTCAATGGGACGCAGCTCAAAGCATTTGCTGAGGACTTGGTGTGGATCCCTAGAACCCGTGCCAAAGCTGTGCTGTCTGTTTAGTGCTCCTCCTCCGGGGACGTGGGGTCAGCCAGCATGGTGTATCCAGGGGCTCAAGGGTGACAGTGTTTTTCTCTGCCCTCCTGCCCCATCACTGGGATTACTGGTCTATCAGGCAGGCCTAGTTTGCTTGTTTTGTTCGGATGGGGAGTAGAATAAAACCCAGAGCCTTAAACAGTCTAGGTAAATGGTGGACCACTAAACCGTGCCAGAGCTTTCAGAGTGCCCTTTGGGGCAAGTACACTAATTGAAAAAAAGCTTCCTAAAACAAAAGAAAAAGGCTTCCTAGGGTAGGGCCCGGGAACTTAGTGATGAGGGCTGGTTTGCTTGGCAAGCTTGAAGCCAGCCCTAGGTTCAATTCTTAGTACTGCTAAGGACAGTGGTGCTTGCAGAATGATGGCTTACTTGGATGTTAGGGGGTTTGGAGACAAGGGGTTTCCTGTTTGTTTCTGTTTCCCCTGGTTGTCCTGGAACGTGGAGATCTGACTGCCTCTGCTCTCTCTGTGCTGGAACTAAAGGTGTGTGCCAACACCCAGCAGTTTTCTTTCCTCTCGGAAAGAATTTAGTCAAGAGCTAGTTTCGACAACCAATTCATATGTGAGGACGTGCTGGGTGTCTTTCTGGGGTAGTGGGACAGCCCAACTGCAGTTTCAAGGGTGTTTGGTCACAAAGGGGCACTCTGACTCCCAGGGGACACTGATGTGAGGTGGATGTCACCATCACAAGGGCTGGATGTGAGCTTGGGAAAGTAATCCCCCTCAGCTTTTCTGTGTCTTTGTAGAATCACCATTAACAAGGACACCAAGGTGCCCAATGCTTGCCTGTTCACTATCAACAAAGAAGACCACACTCTGGGGAACATCATCAAATCGTAAGTCCCAGGCCAGAGGCCCCAGGTGTCAGCGGGGCTCTGTAGGCTGAGCACATGCCTGGACGTGCCTTCCGTCTCTTCCACAGCTTGCTCTGATGTGGGTACTTTCTAACCTGGCACTGACAGGTCTGTTGGCTTTTTGACATAGGGTTTCATGTAGGGTAGGCTGGCCTCAGACTGACTCACTACGTAAAGGAGGGGACTCCTGATCCTCCTCACCTATCCCGGGATTGCTGGGGTCCTGGCCATGTACCACATCAGCTTCATGTTGGCTTATTCATGTAGTATCAGAGTCTGCAGGGAGCCCCCAATTGACTGTTGGGCTTTTGGCCAAGATCAAGTTCAGGGGGCTTCAGCAAAGCAGGTTTTCATCTTAATGGGCATCAAGATGCAAAAGGCGATGGGTGTTGTGGTACACACCTATAATTCCAGCACTTGGGAGGCAGAGTCAGCCTGGTCTGCATACAGAGACAGTATCTCAAAAAGACAACCCCTCCCTCCCCCGCCCCTACATTTGATGATCTGCTGGTGCCTTAGCGCCTTTTCTTTACCCCCCGGCTTTCTAAGTTGTCACTGGGTGATTGCCCAGTGCTGGGGTGACAGATGGTTCCCACCTGACATGGGTGCTGGGTCCTCTGCAAGAGCAATACACTCGTGTTTTGCCTATGCATGTCTACCATGTGAATGCCTGTTACTCATGAAGGTCAGAAGGAACTGGAGGTACAGGTGGTTAGGTGCCACATGGGTGCTGGGAACCTCTGAACTAATCCATTTCTCCAGCCGAACCTGCATCTTAACCCCAGCACTCGGGAGGCAAGGCAGGCAGATCTTGGTAAGTTCAAAGCCAGCTTGGCCTATATGTGAGTTCCAGGATAGCCAGGACAGTTACAGAAATCCTGTCTTGAAAAAAAAAAAAAAAACAAAATGTATTGCGCATGTAGTGTGTGCGCAGGCTAGAAGAGGGTGTTGGATCCCCGTAGCTAGAGCTGCGAACCATCTGATGGAGGCACTGGGAACAAATTCAGGTTCTCTGCAAGAGCAGTCAGTAAGTGTTCCACTATTGTGCTGTTTCTCTAGCCCAACCTCTAACTCTTGTATGAGTGAGTGTATTTCAGCTTGTGTGTATCTCTGCACCATATGGTGGGTGCCCTTTCATGCCATAAAAGGATGTTGGAGCCCTCCCCTCCCCCCACCCCCAGGATTGAAGTTGTGAGCCACCCTGTGGTTGCTGGGAATTGAATCAAGGTCCTCTGGAAGAACAGCCAGTTTTCTTTTTTTTTTTTTTTTTTGAGACAAGGTTTCTCTGTGTAGCTTTGGAAGCTGTCCTGGAACTCGCTATGTAGACCAGGCCTGCCCCTGCCTCCCGAGTGCTGGGATTAAAGGCATGTGCTACTGACATCCAGCAAACAGCCAGTTTTCTTAACCGCTGGGCCATCACTCCAACCCTCATCCTACAACTCTAGCTATGTAAGGCAGGGGCCAGTTAGAGCCTGTGACCTTCAGGTTCTCCATTTCCCTGAGCTTTGTGGGAAAGGGCCAGCTGGGGCCTGACCCTGTTCCTCTTCCCACTGCCGCCTGCTTGTGGGCCTAGGAATTGGGTACAGTCCACAGCCACTGACATAGGTCCTCAATTTCTGTGAAGAAAGACGCCACCCCGGCCAGGGTCCTTGATTGTGTGGCCAACAGGGTTCCTTCCTATAGAGTTTTCTGCCCCCTTGATCTCCCCTCCTCCTGCCGCTGGGAGGAAACCTCTAGCCTCATACATGTATGTAGGCAAGCACCCTACCACTGAGCATATATCCCCAGCCCTTTTCTTTTTTAAGGTAGTCTAGGTTGGCCTTGAACTTACAGTCCTCCTGAGCAGCTGGGCTAACAGGCCTACACCATCATTCATAATTGGGGGTAGGAAGCTACTTTGGACAGAAAGCCTGCCAGGCCTGACCTCCCTCACAGTGTACACCTATGTTCCTCAGCCAGCTGTTGAAGGACCCGCAGGTGCTTTTTGCTGGCTACAAAGTCCCTCACCCCTTGGAACACAAGATCATCATTCGTGTGCAGACCACCCCAGACTACAGTCCCCAGGAGGCCTTCACCAATGCCATCACAGACCTCATCAGCGAGCTCTCCCTGCTGGAGGAACGATTCCGGGTAAGCGGCTGGACAGGGGCCTGGGCGTAACTAAGTGGTACAATGTCTAGCACAGTCAGGGCCTTCCGTACCATCTGTAGCACCAAACCCCCTCCTCCCCTTTGCCACTGGCTCTGCAGGCCTCCGAGACTCCTGAGGGAGGCTTCATCCCGGGGTAGGGAGTCAGCTATTGATGAGAGGCCCTCAGTGTAAGATAAGCCACACCTTTTGAGGTTTTCATACCCCACCTGGCACCATCCCTAGCCCTTAGCAAGCAGGCGCCTCAGAGCAGGGTAGGTGGAGCCTGCTGAGGCACCTGAAGCCTTTGGGACTGGTCAGCCTTACGTGATATTCTCTGGAGTACTACATCTGGAAGGACCGCAGTGCCAGGTTCCTGGTGCCACACAAGCAGGAGATACTGGGGTCATTCTATGTAGTCACTGCTGATGTCCTTCCTCTTCAGGTGGCCATCAAGGACAAGCAAGAAGGAATTGAGTAGCAGCTAAAAGGAGCATTGCTTAATGGCTGGAAGGCTGGTGCGTACATCCTTTTCAGTGTTCTCCATGACAACAGCCACCCTCAACTCTCTGTAGCTGGACGCTGCTCTGTTCTGTACATAGACTGTTATTTTCCTAATAAAGTGTAGTGGGAAAAGACCCATATGCAGCAGCCTGTGGGTTACCTGTGCACGGCAGGTGACCTGTGACACAAGAGACCCTAACAGACTGAGGCAGAACCTGGGGCTGCTGGGCCTGCCTGAGTTATCAAGACAGAATCCCAGTGGGGCCTGTGTGACTACGCTCAGTCGACAATAGAGAATTTAATAAAAAAATACTCAGATACAAATACCCTATCACTAGCTCCAATCTAATAAGCCACGTCCCTGGTCACTGTCCTGTGCAAGCTAGCAGCACCTCCAGATGGACACGATGTTGGAGTCCGTCAGAGCAGTGAGGTAGGTAAAGGCTGCATTGGCCACAACTGTGTTTACCATGGTCTTGGTCACTGGTTGCCCCTGTGCTACTGGTTGTGGCCACTTCAGGATCTGAGGGGGAAAAAGAAGGTTGTGGGCTCCTGCCTCACAGAGCAGCCCAAGGCTATCAGAAGGGTCCACAGGCCCATGTGGCTGTAGTGTGTACCTGTGTCGGGGCCTGCGGAGTTGCTGCCAGTGGAGGCGGCTGCTTCAACAGGTGCTCAACATCATAGATCCACACACTGCCTTCCTCGTCCCCACACAGCACAAGGTTTTTGTCTGCCAGGACAAGTGGGGGTCTAAGACAGGGCCAGGGTGGGGGCAGAAAGAGGGGGTGATGGGGTGGGGTGATGGGCAGGCTCACCAGGACAGGTGCTGAGTGAGAAGTAAGCCAAATTGGTGGGTGACCACTGCAGCTGGGCCAGGATGACCACAGGCAACACAGACCGGCTGTCCCGGCCTGCCCACGTCTGGCTCCAGCTCCACAGGTAGATGATGCCCTGTCCATTCCCTTTGGAGGCTGCAGGGAGAGATGAGCTCAGACTGATTGCATATCTAGGCTGGCTGCTGCCACAACCTCCCTGATCCCCAGTAGTTGTCTCAGCGCCTTTAGTGCTAAGTCCCAGCCGGGCTCACTCACCCACAATGTCATCATTCACAAATGCCAGCCCGTCCACTCTCTGTCCTGACATCTCCGAGTCCTCAGAGAAGATAAATTCCACTTCACACACCCTGCGGAAGACATTACCCATGCAGAAACTGCCACGCCCCCTGAGGGCAGGAACCCCATGCTGAGCGGTCTCAGGGCCTTCCACATGGGCAGATGAGCCACAAAAGTTCATCAGAGCTGCTTCCCTACCTACTCTCCATAAGCCCTGGGATACCTCAGTGCCCATCCTCAGACACGGACACCATGCTAGGGCAGGAGGGTCACACTGCTGGCTGACAGGACTAGGGCTCAGGCAGTTTGCAGTGTGGTGATCAACGGTGAAGAGAGCAGTCCCAGGACAGGACTTCCCAGGCAGCCCCACCAGCACTGTGGTGTGCCCAGGGCCCAGGTAAACCCAGCACCCTTACCTTTGCTTCTGGGGCTGGTCTAGCCGCACATCCCAGCAGCAGCAGCCTCCCTCACAGCCAGCCAGCAGGAAGTCATCCGGGCAGGAGGCAACAGGACAGAGGCGCAGGGGGACAGAGCTGCAGTTGAGCATGAGGAGCTGGCTGCCAACACGGGTGTGGAAGACCATGAGCCGTGTGCCATGAACACCACCCACAGCAGTCCGCCCTCTCCAGCCCGGTCCACAGCCTCACCTAGCCTGGAACTTGTATTCATGGTTGGGCACCCCAATGTCCCAGAGGATGATCCGTTTGTCGTAAGAGGCAGCTGGGGGTGGGGGATGGGGCGGGCGCAGGGATATATGGAGGAAAGAGTAGCTCTGAGAAGACCCCGCCCCTCTTGCAGGTTGAGTCTGTGAGTTGGGTCCCTCAACCAGTTTATCAGACAGGAAGGGCAGGCAGACTGGGGCTAGGACAGGAACTTGGGGACCACAATCCCCAGTTCTGCCTGAACCCAGTGTGCATAGCATCAAGCCATCTTTGTAGCACATCTGATACCTTTGGTGAGCTCAGCACACCCAAGGGACCGGTTATCTCCCCTGGTCCCAGGCAGAGAAGAAAGGAGCCCAAGTTGCTAGGAAACTTCAAGGCTGCATAGCATGCTGGGATGGCGCCTGGCTGGCCAAGAAGCTACCTCACTTCCGACCAAAGCCGTCTGGGCCCAGCATCCTATGAGCCTCGTCACCCCAGAAAAAGAGACCCAGGCCAGCAGGACAGAAAGACTCGTGCCGAGAAAGCTCAGAGTCTTACTGAAGAGGTGGGTCTCGTGGGTGGGGCTGAAGCAGAGGGTGGCGATGGCCTTCTTATGGGCTCTGATGACGCTGCAGCAAAAGCCTGCGCGCACATGGAGCAGCCGGATCATGCCCCGCAGGCCTGCGGCGGCCAGCATGTTCCAGCGCTTCTTGTGGCCTGCCTGGGTGACCACCGTCAGGGCTGTCCAGGCCACGGAGAAGAACTCCTGACAAGGGTAGAAAGAGGAAATGGTCATGAGCACTGAACAAGTGGCAGCCTGCCTGGAGGGCTAGCCCGGGACAGTGAGGCACAACAGCACAGGAAAGCTCTCAGGAGGGCTGTGGGCGACTGAAGAGCTGGTGGAAAGGTTCAGAGGCCCTGGGTTCCATCCCCACCAAAATAATTAAGGTCAGAGGAATCAGAGAGCTTAGCCTGGACCTCCAACCTCAGGGCTCTTGTCCCAGGACCCAGCAGACTTCAGGAAGACGGGCCCTGGCACTCACCTCTCCTGGTACTTTGTATTTATGGAGTACGATGCCTGTCTGGCAGTCTATCACGCAAACAGCCTCTCCACCACATGTAGCCACAGTCTGTGACGTGGCCCCCGAGTGTCCTGTTTTATGGTATCAGCCACATAAACGTCTTTTCTGTGAAGTTCTTCCCCACAGTCCCTCTTCCTGGCCTCCATGACATTAGTATTATTATTTGTTGTACAGGGGACAGAACCCAAGCCTCACACACGATAGACAAGTGCTCTAACACTATACTACTTACATGGCCTTTTTTTATCTTTTAAAAAAATAATGCATGGTTACGTACGTGTGTCATGTGGTATGTGCACATAAGTGCAGGTACCCACAGAGGCTGGAAGAGGGCATAACATCCCCTGGAGCTGGCGTTCCTGGCAATTGTGAACAGCCCATGGTAGATGCTAGGAACCAAACTTCAGTCCTCTACAAAAGCAGCAAGCACTCTAGGCAGTCTTTGGTTTTTTTTTTTTTTTTTTTTTTTTTGAGACAGGGTCTCTGTGGAGTCTTTGGCTGTCCTGGAACTCACTCTGTAGACTAGGCTGGCCTTGAACTCAGAGATCTGCTTCTGACTCCAGACTGCTTGGATTAAAGGCGTGTACCACCATTTCCAGCCCTTTCTTTCTACCCTAAAAACAGCCCTACTGAATTTCTCCGGTATCTTTTAGTCTGACTCCCACTGAGCACCACACCGTGACCCGAGCCTCCCACTGCCCATGGGCCCCAGCATGTACCCTCCTCCCTGGCAGGCTCAAAGGCACAGGCCCATAGCTGGGTCTCCAGGTCCTTAGGGCTGTTGTGTCTGCTATGGCACTGCAGGAAGTGCAGGGGTTCCAGGTGTAGGGCAGCCTGTGGGGGCACAGGTGGTTACAGTTGCCCCTTAGCATGCTCCCTTTCTGACACTAGCCCCCTGCCGTCTGGGGTGCCTACCTGCCCTCCATCAGAGTCCACAGGTCCGTCCTCTGTCTGCACTGCTGGGGAGGAGCACACTCGCTTGGAGGGAGAGAGGTCAAGTGGGACATTGTCTAGCCGTTTTGGGGCCACCATTCTGGTCTGTGGAAGGAGGGGACTTGTGTCCATGCCCCAGGGGTTTCCTCCCTTGGCTACAGACTTAACTACACCCTCTGAAAAGTGTGGAAAGCAAGAACTGAGCTACTGTCACAGGGGGAACTTGGTCTGTGTTAGGGCTGGACACTTAAAATATTCTCCAAGGGTTCAAACTTTAAAGAGCTGGGTCACCAGTCTATGGGGCTACTCAGGAGTACAGGGTAGGTGAAGGGACTTAGGTCACTGGGAGGCCTCCCTTTGAAGGGGACATTGGGACACTAGCCACCATGAGATTCACAGACATCCTCGCTGTGTGAGCTCACAATACATACAGCTTCGAGTCAAGCAACTATGGGCTGAAACCACAAACCCAAACTAACCTTTCCTTCCTGTAAGTTGGTTATTCTGGGTATTTTGTCACAGCAAGGGCAGGCTGACTACGTACTTGGGCATCGCCTGAGTTGTGGAGGCCCGTGGCCCTCACAGATGTGTGGAAACACACTCACCCTGAGCTTGGAGGCAGCTGCAGCCTGTGGAGGCTCCTTTGCTAGGTCAGCTTCCTGCACCTGGGCCCCAGCTGAGGCCACCAGTTTCTCAGCGATCATCCGCACCTGGGTGGGGCCAGGCCTTCAGCAGACTGAGCAGTCTCACGTGCCCTTAGCCTCTCCCCAGACACGTGTGGCTCTCAAAGTAGGAAATGGGCCTCCCTAGGCACAAGGGCCACCATTCTCTGACCCATCCCACTCACCATTGTCTCCCCAATCCAACAGAGCCAGGGACTTCTCTAGGACAACCTACAAGCCACGGAAGCCAAATCCCAGAACATACCCGCCACTGGGTGAACTCGCTGAGAGACTCAGGGCCATAATGCACATCCTTGACAGCAGATGTCACAAAGTCAGCCTGGAATTTGTCAGCGTCCTCTTCAGGGCTCACAGTGGCCATGAACTTCTCCCAGTGAGCTGTGACCTGGCAAAACCAGACCAGATCCAGGCCCAGCCCAACCCAGGTCTCCTGTCCTAGCCATACACAGTACCTCCATAAGGTGTATTTGCTATAAGAGCTTCTGGAAGCTTCTGCAAGCATAGCCTCTTATTCTCTACTAGCACAATCTAGGTCACATGAATTGAAACCAGCCTGATTCACCCAGGCAGAGTAATCCCAACACTTGGGAGGCTGAGGCGGAAGTTTCCCAGGCCATATGAGCTACATAAGACCCTGTCTCAAAAAACATGGGCTGGAGAAATGGCTCAGCAGTTTACAGAGGACCTGGGTTTAAATCCCAGCACCCACATGGCAGCTCAAAACTGTCAAACTTCAAGATCGGACACCCTCACACAGACATCCATGCAGGTAAAATACAAATGCACATAAAATAATAAAGTAAGTAAATTACTAAAAAAAAATCAAACAGCTCACTGCAGAGTTCTAGCCTCCCTGCTGTACACCTCAGAGACAGGGCCTCCGAACAAGGGAAGCAATAAAAAAGAAAAAAAACACAACACACCAGACTCAAGACTGTCAGGTCAGGGTAACACCTCATTTACACGCACCCCCAATCCACTCTGCCCCAAATACCTTGCTGACATGACCAAGGACCCTCCTCCATCAACCTCCCATCATCCTTACCCTGTTGGTCAGCTCCCGATCTAGCCTCTCCACCTGTGAGCAGGCGGAGGCCGCATCCTTGCCGTTGACTTTACGTAGCTTGGGCAGGAGAAAGGACACTTTCAGATTGTCATTGACCTAAAGGATGGAGGAATAAATGAAAGCCAGGAATGGTGGTGAATGCCTGTAATCCCAATACTCCGGGAGAGTATGGTGGGGATGTCAAGTTTGATGCCAGTCTGGGATACATAGGGAGGTGCAGGCCAGACTGAGATACAGAGCAAGACTTTGTCTCAAACCAGCAAAACAATAAAAAGCCCAACAGGGTGGGTACGAAGTCCAGTTGAGAGGTTGCTTTCTTAGCATGCACAAAGCCTTAAGTTTGATCCCCAGTACTGCATAAACCAGGCTTGGAGGAGAATCCGAAAGAAGCTCCAGGCCATCCTTGGCTACACAGTTAATTTGAAACCAGCCTGGGCTACATAAGACTCCATCACACAAAACAAAACCCAAAAGAGCGAGCGAACCTGGAGCCTGCCCCAGATTCCTAGCTCTTAGCATCGAGCTGGTCAGAGCTCCCTCTCACCGTCAGGAAGGGGTTGCCTTCCAGGTTGAGCTCCTCGAGGTCTGGAAACTGGCGCAAGACAGTGACATCCCCCAGCTGGTTGTTGGTGCAGTGAAGGATGAGCAGATGGGACAGGCCCAGGTTGGCAGGCAGCGTCTCCAGCAGGTTGTTAGAGAGGTCAAGTTCCTTCAGCTGCTTCAGGCGCCCCAGGAGATTGGGGTCCAAGTGCTCTGACCGAAGCTCCAGCCCCGAGAGACTGGGGTGAGGGCAGAGATCAGGAAAGCTCAGGAGGCTGGGCAGACCCTTTCGCTAACTACCCCCACCTGCCCAGAGGGATCTACACCAAGTAATTTCTCGTGCTGAAAAATAAGCACGGAATTACTTTTTAGACTTGGCTAGCCTGGAACTCACTACATAGACTAGGCTGGCCTCAAAACTGAAAGATCCAAAACACAACTCACTAGTAGTTCAGGAAAGCCTTGAAGGTACTTTCCTGCCTCTACCTTCGTTGGGATGACAGGGCTCTGCCACCACCAGGGAGCAGCAGTTCAGGCTGTGGTAGGGATGGAAACCCCAGATTTGTGCATGTCCCACAAGCAAACTCTACCAACATCTGCAGCTCTAGCCCCCACCCCACCCCTTTAAAATTACATTTTTATTTATTACAGTGTCTGTGCATGTGTGTATGGATGGACACAGTCCAAAGTGGCTAAGGTCAGGTTAAGGAGCTGGTTCTCCTTCAACTGTCTGAGTCCAAGGAAATAAACTCAGGCTTGGTGACAGACCTCTGGTCAGACTTCCCTTCTTTAAAGAACTTTTTGTTATTGAGCATGATGGTGCACTCTTTTAATCCCAGCACTTGGGAGGCAGAGGCTGGCGGATGGCCGTGAGTTCGAGGCCAGCGGATGGCCGTGAGTTCGAGGCCAGCTTGGTCTACAAAGCGAGTTCTTGGACAACCAGGGACGTTATACAGAGAGAGCCTGTTTAGAATAAAAGTTTTCTTTTTGAGACAGGGTGTCATATTGTAGCTCAGACTGGGCTCCAAGGCACGTTTGTCTTGCGCCGGGCCCTGGAGTACTAGACCTCCTAACGACTTCAAAACCTAAGGCCTCCAAGTTCCCGCTTCAATGCTTTTCCTCGCTCCTGCAGGATCCTCGCGCGCTACTCAGGCTTCCTCAATGAGTGCTCAACATTCTTTCCACCCTCCGTAAATGAGCTCCTTTCTGGTCCACCTGACTCCGGACTGGGGCTGCCAATTAACTCCCGCCATCTCCGTTAGGCGTGAGTTACGGACTCGACCCCGCCCAAGTCCCCGCTAACTATATAGTTTGGGCTGGCGGGGCATGGGGAGGGGTCTGACTTACACCCCGCCTACCAGGCGACCCGGGTGGGTGGGGACGGACCCCGTGCCCCGGATCCGCTTCAACAAAGCCAGCACTTACTCCAGACTCCGGATCTTCCCCAGACTGTTGGTCTTGGGTCTCCCGCGTTGAAAAAGCAACTGCTGCGTGAGGAGAGCCATGGGTGTCCAAGGGCTCAGCCGAACCCGCGCCTCCACGAAGTACGGTCACTAACGCCCGCCCGCAGCAGAGGAGTTCAGGAGATGGCGCACGGCGAACCCGATAAGTGTCCGTACCTACCGGAAGGAAACAGAATGACGGCCCAGCGCCCCGCCTTCTTCCTCCGCGTACGAAGACTACAACTCCCAGCGGCCCCTGCGCCGGGCGCCTGCGCTCTGATTACTAGGAAGGAACTATGGCGGTTATGGCGGCCGTGGACCGGGCGGCTGAAGTTACTCATTTGCAAGTTTGCGGCTGCAAGGGCATTCGGACCTGTCTTATTTGCGAGAAACAGCGCCACGGCCCTCCTCCCTGGCAGATCTCCCTTCAGGTACGGGCTGGAAAAAGAGTCAAATCCAGAAAGTCTATCCCTCTTAATGGGAAACTGAGGCTTGCCTTTGAAACCGGTGGAGATCAAAGCCCCGCGGTAGAGTTGCTTGGAGCGGTCATAGCTTTGTTATTCACAATAACCAAAAGGTGGACGCAACCTAAGTGTTGTCATCTGAAAATGAAGGGAAGAGCGGGGAATGCTGGTGCACGCCGAGACTCCTGCATTTGAAAGGCAGAGAGAGAGGTAGGGGACTCGGAAAGTTTGTACCCAACCTCGGCCACACGGCAAGTTTGAGGAGAGGTCTTGGAGTAGGGAAGAGGCTATGGCACATCGCCTCTGTGGCTTTAAGTGGCATCAAACTTGGACTTGATACCTGGGGTGGGTATATTCTAAAGGGTTTTAAAAGAACTTTAAATTCAAGTTTTAGAAGGATCCTTGGTTGAGGAAGCCGGAAAGCCAGTAAGGAGTGTAAGGATTCAGGCATTACGCTGGCCTGCCCCTGTCACCTGACAGAATGCACTCAGACAGTACTCTGGTCAGCCCAGAGTTCCATGAGTACTAGTCTGCAGGCAGATGTAAAGGACTCCTTTAAAAGTCAGACCCCTGCCCACTTATGCTCTCTTTTGCTTTCTATTTTGTTCCCTCTCTATCTGTCCCTCGTCCTCCCTCCTCCTCCTCTTCCTCCCCCTCCCCCTCCCTCTCTCCTGCTCTCTGTTGGCCACCAGCTACCCCCTTTCCCCCTCCCCCTCCTGTTCCCGGTGCCTCTATGTCTCTTCCCTTCTCCCTCACTCCCCTTTCTAAATAAACTCCTCATTTAAGCTCTATCTGCCTGGCGTGTTATTCCCTCCCGCCCTGGTCACCCTCACCTGCTATGGAACCTGCTATGCTCTCCCACGTGGTCCCTTACCTTGGGACCTCACTTACTTGGGACCCTCACTCGGGACCACCAACCCCCCTTCTCCAGCTTTTACGCTTGTATCTAAAGAACAACAAGGAGTCTCTGTTGGTGCTAAAATGCCCACCATCTTGTGAAAAACTGAGGAATGCCTCATAAATAGGCTGATCACATGACCCACCATGTTCCTGGGTCAGTGTGCAAAAGGAAGGGTTTTGTTTGTTTGTTTGTTTAATTTCTTGCTTTAGTTAGAGGCCCAGGTCCCTCCGTTCCAGATGCTAAGATCACAGGCCTGTGTCACCATGTGTGGCTTGCAGCAGCCTTTACAGATCACAGGGTGGATGCTACCCAAGTGTTTAACTGATGACTTGAGGAGTGGGCACTTCACCAACTGAGCCAGCACTCCATCCCATCTCTGTCTTTTACAGAAAAAATACCAGTTCCTTTACTGCCCAGACACAGGCTGGGCCATGGGGCCTGAGGACTCTGACTTTGAGGGTTGGGCCTTCCCCTTCCCGGGAGTGACATTGATAAAGGACTTTGTGACCCCAGAGGAAGAGGCTGAGATGGTGCGTCTGATGGACAGTGACCCCTGGAAGCTCTCTCAGTCTGGGCGGAGGAAACAGGTATGGTGGTCCTACCTGGGCCAAGGGGCAGTCCCCTTGCCAGAGGCCCTGGCTGTCTCCTGTGGCCACACCCTAGGGATCTTTGGTAGGGAGTGGGTGATCGTCACAGGGGGTGTGGGCGTCCTCATCAAGCAGGGCTGCCACTGTCTCTGTCCTGCTGTCTCATTGGTGGGAGATGATGATAAGTTCTAGATAGGGATCTCCATCCTGCGTGGCTACTAGAGGCTGCCAGGCACTGCCTGCCTCATCACATCCCTTATCCCGTCTCCTTCTGTGTAAAGACTCCTGATATGCTCTTAGGGACCGTGGTACCCCTCCTCCTGTTTCTCCCCTTCCTCATTATCCCCCCTCAGTCATCTTGACAATAGACCGTTCCTATGTCCGCTTCAAAGGTACCCGTCACTCTTCATTCCTGACATCAGAGCATTTGGTTAAATCAGCCAGTAGGAGATTCCTTCAAGTTTCTCCCTGTGCTAGGACCACCCCAGCCACCCACTCTGCCCCTGACCCTCAGGACAGACAGACTGTGGTTTCCATGGGCACCTTGTCTCTTATCCACTCCCACCTTGGACTCTTCCTGTCCCTTCTCCCTCCAAGAAGCCTCACCCCAGAACATGGTCTCAGGCTGTTCTTAAACTTGCTACGTAGGTGAGCTTTTATCCTCCTGCATCCACTTCACAAATGCTAGGATTGTAGGCACGACTACACTGGCGTTTCCCCCCGCTTCCCCTTCAAGACAAGGTCTCACTTTAGCCCAGCTGGCCTTGAACTCCAGGCAGTTCTCCTACCTGAGCTTCCGAGGGGCTGGGATTCCATGCGTGCACCAGTTTGTGGTTGGCATTTCTTAAGCTGAGCCCGTTCTCCTTTCCTTCGTGTCCCCACTCCAGGACTATGGCCCAAAAGTCAATTTTCGGAAGCAGAAGCTGAAGGTGGCTGGCTTCCAGGGTCTCCCCAGCTTCAGCCAGAAGGTGGTCCACAGGATGGGCCTCTACCCAGGGCTGGAGGACTTCCAGCCTGTGGAACAGTGTAATCTGGACTACAGCCCAGAGAGGGGCTCAGCCATCGACCCCCACCTGGATGACGCCTGGCTGTGGGGCGAACGGCTGGTGAGCCTCAACCTGCTATCAGCCACCGTGGTGTCCATGTCCCGTGAGGCCCCTGGCAGCCTGCTGCTCTGCTCGGCCCCCTCCACTGGACCCGATGCTTTTGATGGCAGCATCGTGGCCCCTAGCAGGTCTGTCCCCTGCCAGGAGGTGGAGGTAGCCATCTCTGTACCCTGTCGCTCCCTACTGGTGCTCACAGGGGCTGCACGGCACCAGTGGACACATGCCATCCACCGCAGACACATCAAGGCCCGTCGTGTCTGCGCCACCTTCAGAGAGCTGTCCCGAGAGTTCCTGCCCGGAGGGAAGCAGCAAGAGCTGGGGCGGGGGCTGCTACAGGTTGCCCTCTCCTTCCAGGGGAGGCCCGTGTGAGCACGTCCCTGCACAAGAGCTGCCATGGCCCGCCTGGGGACAGATGCTAGCCTGACACTGGGGAAGCAAACACTGAGCACTGAGGTCTCCCCACAGATCATTACATTCATTTGGTTTTTGTTTTCTTTTTTTCCTTTTTTTGTTTTTTTTGAAACAAGATCCCATGTAGCCTAGGCTGCCTTCAAGTGAATTCTGTAGCTGACAATGACCTTGAACTCTTGATCCTTCTGCCTCCACTTCCAAGTGCTAGAATTACAGGTGTGCCCTGTCAGGCCTGGCTTTATCAAGGTTGTTTTGTTTCTCTTCTTTTTGAATGGGGTCTCCGGCCTAGACTGGTCTCGAGCCCACTATACAGCCCAGGATGACTTTGAACTCCTGACCCTCCTGCCTCCACCTCCTGAGTGCTGGGATTGCCAGTGTATACCACTACGCTCGGTTTTTTTGTTTTGTTTTGTTTGTTTTTGGTACTGGGATGAAACCCAGGGCATCCTGCTTGCTAAGCAAGTGTTCTGTCTATTAAGCTATACCCTTACCCTGTTGGGGTTTTTGAGACAAGGTCTTATGTGGACCAGACTGGCCTGGAACTCCCTATGTAGCCTAGCTTTGAACTCCTGATCTTCCCTCCTCAGCCTCCCAAGTGCTGGGATGACAGTCCACTGGTTAGGTTTTCTGAGGAGCTTGTGACCTCATGGACATCACATACATACCCTGGCTAGAGCCAGTTCTGATGGCTCTTGGCTGCTCTCTGGGTTATTTAATTTGTCACAGTTTGGAGGAATTCAATCTTTAACAACCTTAGTATTTGGGAGAAGCAAGATGGCTCAGTGGGTGAAGGCACTTGCCATCAAGCCTGAGGACCTGAGTTCAGTCTTTGGAGCCTACATGGTGGAGGGCGTGAACCAACTCATGTCCTCTGACCTCCACATGTATCACCTCTCCGATAAAATGTATAATAAAAGACAAAAGGAAAACCTTGTTCCCGTGTGAAATGGTTTTCTCCTTCCCCATCTCTGTGTGAAGGAGTTGTAATTATTTTATTTTTAAGACAGGGTCTCACTGGGTAGCCTTGGCTGGCTTGGAACTTTGTAGACCAGGCTGGCCATGAACTCACAAGGATCTCTGTCTCTGCTTCTGAGAGAGGGGCTGGCGTGTGGCTCAGTGGTAGAGCACAAGCCTAGAACCTCCCAGTGAGGGGCTGGGGAGTGTAGCTGAGCTATAAAATATAAAAGATTGCTTGTCTTGTATTTGGTCGGGCCCTGAGGACAGAGGCTTGAATGAGTCGTCACCTGTGTGGCCCTTCACTGCAAATGTTAAGTTCTCCCCAACCCTGACTGGTGCTTACCAGCATTGGGTAGGTCCCCTTCTGGCATTGACACAACTTACCTTAGGGAATACCTGCTACAGACAGGCTGGAGACTGACACAGGGATGTTCCGGAGGCAGGAGGGTCACGTTACCGGCGAATCTGGCGCTAAGCATTGCTGACTTCCACGTCACACTTCCAACATGGCTGTTCACATCAGGCACTAGACTGTAGATCACAGATGGCTCTGGAGCCCAGGGTCCTATGTGCTACAGAAAAGCTGGTCCCCATCAGCCACCACAGAGAGGGGGTAACAGCATGCTTGTGCTTCCTGATACCTTAAGCTGTCATCCACAGTCCCTTTAAGATCCTCAAGTTTTCTGGTCCAGGTCCTATGGCCTGGGTCACCTGTTCTGATACTCTGTGTCGGTCTGGAACAAAGAGAGCCTGTGTGTGCACTAATTTAGAAGCACCTGCTCCATGGGCAGCCTCCTGTTCAGAGTAAGGAGGACTGACTATCAGAGGTGGGGACACGCATATGATCCCAACACTTGGGGAGACAAACAGGAAGACTGAATTCTAAGCCAAACTGGGCTACATGGTCAATTCAAGGCCATTCTGAGTGACATAGTGACTGTCTCAGAAAAAAAAGAAACCTGGGCTTCCATTTTAAGCGCTGACCTGATCAGGGCTGGCAAGCAGTATCTGCTGGCTGCTATATACTGAGCCCAGATCCTGCCTGGCAGCCCCTTGGCCTGTGGAGCTATTTCCCATATGTTGGCATTTTGTACACCTGACTCCCAGGATCCTCTGGGCTGAGGGCCTAGGGTAGTAGTTACATTAAAAGACAGGAACCATTCCTAGGACTTGCTGGGGAGGTGGCTCCAAAGACACACATGAATTGCATCCCCACATTAAAGAAAATATTTGGTGGCACATGCTTGTCCTAGCACAGGGGAGGCAGGGACACACAAAGTAGCCCATCTGCCAAGTTCCCTCCCAGTCAAGTGGAATCTCAGCCAAGATGATATCTAAGAAATAGCTCTGAAATTGAGTGTGGCCTCCACAACAGGTATATGTGTGCATGTGTTCGCACGTGCACACACACGTGTGCACACACACATATGCACACCCCAAAAAAGCTTTCCTTGGAGGGACCCCCATGTCTGGGCAGCTTTTACAATGTCCTGGGTGTCTTTTTGTTGGTGTCCCCAGTGGGTGACCTGGGTAGAGGCTCTGGAGCCACAGGAACCGGAGGAACAACACCTCAGGACTCCTAGAACCCTGAGAAATGTAGCTGACCTGTCCCGATGGTTTCTGCTGAGCTCAGCCACCCACATCGGGCCCCCCTTTTCCCTTCCCCATCTTCAGAACTGCTGCCAAGTGCAAGGTTCCCAGGTCCAGTCCACAGAGACCTCACTCAATGTATGCCTGGCTCCCAGCAGCCTGCCTGCCCATTCCAGGAGGTCCTGTGCTCACTCTGCCCTCAGGCAGGCCCTGGGACAGAGACCTGAACCATGGCACACACTTCTCAAAAGCACAGTTTTGAAAAGCTTTATCAGTTTATTCAGTTCAATCCAGGGCAACTGCTAAAAAATCCACACACAGGACTGGCGCTACCTACAGTGTCCTGCAGAAATGGTGGCACAGATAGTCCCGAGTCCTCTGGGACTATCTTAGTAGACCTTCCTGGAAGACACTAATCACATTCTGCCTTTAAAGTTTCTTAAATAGAAACGCTTGAATTTGGAGACTTCGTGGTCAAGGGTACAGGGAGGCCATATGTTACGTTGGGAAGGGCCTTGGTGTGTCTGAGGACACTGATCCCTTAAGCACCAGGTAGGGCTGCATCTTGGATAGATGAAATTAGGGCAAGCCTGTGTAGGCCCCAGGGGGCCCACTGTGGTTCTAGCCACGTGACTGGCTAGAATGAGACCTGAAATCAGGTTATGCTTCCAGAAAGGGAATTTCCAGCCTTCAGCCTCTCTGCTGGCTTCTGCCACTGCTCACAGTGAGATCTTATCCTCCTGACAAAGTTCTGGAGTGGCCCTGTGACTTCTGCCCACCACCAGGGACCTCATGGGTGGTCACCTCCGTTTACACACTGATGGTGGTCCCATGGGAAGACTAAAAGGGAGAGCATGAGGGACTACAGGAGTTACACACCGCATTAAGTGCCGGGCATGCCAAGAGCTGAGACACCAAATGGTCTCAGAAAATGGGCGGAAGTAATGGGTTCAATATCCAACAGGAACTCCCTCTTTTTATTTTGTATGTGTACATATGTACACGTGTGGGTGCCTGCAGAGGCCAGAAGAGGACACTGGAGCCTCTGGAAGTAGAGTCACGGGGCAGTCGTGAGCTGCCTTGTGTGGGTGCTGGGAACTGATCTGGTCTTCTGCAAGAACAGTAGATGCCCCTACCCAGTGAGCCATCTGCAGGCACCCTCCCTCACGTCCGACTGCTTTGATAGAGTCTGAGCAGTCCAGGCTGGCCCTGAGCTCGTTATGACTTTGAACTCCTGATCCTCCAGCCTCCACCACCTGAATGCTGGGATTGCAGATGCATCCCACCAAGTTTGGTTTATGTGGTGCTGGACATCAAGGCCAGGGCTTCATGTATGCCGGACAAACACACTACTCTCTGAGCTACATCCTCAGCCTTCAACATGGTGTTTCAAGAGGTGTGCAGCAGTGAGAGGCGCTCACATCCTGTCTTTTCCCTGCTGGGACACAGATGCCATCTTATCATGTAATATTAAATCAGTGTTCTTACTATATTTATTTGTGTGTAGGTCAGAAGATGGGGACTGAACTCAGGTCTCCAGGCTTGGTGGCAAGTGCCTTTACCCTCTGAGCCATCTCGCCTGCCCATGATTCTAGCATCCTTCAGCAAAACAAACAACTCAACTAAGCTGGCCTTCCCAAAGACCCCAGGAAAGCACAGAGGTCTAAGACCTCAAGGGGTCTCAAGACAGATGTCTGCAGGGGTGGGGGGTATTGAAGGACACACCTTTGAAAAACAGAGGGCAATTTCCTGGGTTCATAGGACACCATGTCCTAGTTCCCCAAAGATGTCACAGTTTACAAGGAAGATTCTCCACAGGCTCCCCTGGGCCCTCTGTGTGTTGAAGTTTATGCTCAACAGTGTGACCCATTTCCAGAGACTCCAGGCTGCCCCCTCAGGATTCCACAGCACCAAACCTAGACTGCAGAGACAAGCTGATGTAGGAAACGGAAGTGGCACTTGCAGGAGCCCAGTGACCATTTATATAGAGTCAAAGCCTTGTCTGGGTGATGCTGCAGAAATGGGTAAACAGTGTTCCCATGCAAGCTGGTGCTTGGGTATGGAGGCTAACACCAGCCGGGTGACCAGATGCCAAACTCATGCGCAGCTGTGCAAACATGGGGGCAGGGACCTACGCTGACAGACCTGGCAGGGCCAGCAACAGCGAGTCGAGGTCCCCTCTGCAGTTGACAGGGCCCAAGCCCCAGGCCAGACCAGGCTAAAGGCTGTGCTAAACAGGAAGTCCCTCCAGTTTATCCTCTCAACATCTGCCACCACAGGCAGCAGGAAGCTGAGCTGGCTGGTCTCTGAGATTGTGTCCCTGCCTGTGTTGACACAGTCCACAGGGGTGGCTGGCTTAAGCCCGTTTTGTGGCTAAGAGGTGAACACCTCTGCATGGGAGAGCCTGCTGCACATAGTGTGTGTGTGACCATCTCTGATCTCAGTGGTGGAGGGCTCTGGGGACATTTATCCTCAACCCTGAAAGCCTCTTACACTGGGCCCATCTCTCTAGGACCAGAGAACTGATTTCAATAATGGTATCCATTACCCTTGTTGAGCTGTGTGTGCCCCTGGGCCCTCAACACTCTGTGATACCCTCCAGAGTTGGAGGAAAGCACCAAGCTGAACCATAGATCAGTCACCTCATCCCTGTGTGTCATTATGAGCCATGCTACCTACCCCTTGTGCCAGCCCTGAGCTCATCTCTGCCCTCTTCAGCAGCCTAGTCTTCATGTGTGTATGTATGTGTGTGCTCACATGCATGCATGCACATGTCTTTGACTGTGTCTCACGTAGCCTCAAACTCACCATGTAGCAGAGGATGACTTTGAACTCCTGATCCTTCCTCCACCTCCCTAGAACTGGGATGACCACGCCTGGTTTATGTACTGCTGGGTTCAAGCCTAGGGCTTCCTGCACACTAGGCAAGCTACTAACTGAGCCCCAGTCCTCCAGCCGGCCCTGGGAATTCAATCCTGCCCTGCCAATCACAAGGTCCAGATGTCTGAGATCTACCGCGACCTCTGGTGTGCTGGGCCCCTTCCCAGGACAAGGTGTTTTCAGCTTGTCCCTGGTCCAGGAAGTCCCCAGGGCCATGTGATCACGTCTCCTCCTTTGGCCTCGGATAAAATGGTATTCTCACTCCTTTAGGCCCTTATTCATCAGAGGAGTATGGAAGTACGGGGCAGCATCTGCGCAGTCTGCTTAGCAATCCCCACTGTGGCTCTTGTGACGCCGCCATGGTGGTTCTCATGAAGCCTGGGTTTGTCTGACAGCCCCTTAGCTACTCCTACCAGCGGCTAACACCGCCTGAGGGTCACTCTCCTGCAGGCTGTACCAAACCCTGCGGGCCTCACTCACACCACCTGGAGGCTTCTCTCGTGCCCATCCAGCTGCACCTTGAGCTTATGCAACTCCTCGATCTCACGGTTGTGGCGTTCGGTCTTATGCCGCACCAGGGAGCGGTAGAAATGGATAGTGAAGACCACGAAGATGAGCCCCACGGGTACCATGATGATGGTTGACACCAGTGCGGCCTGCCAGCCGGTGTGGCTATGGGAGCCTGGCTGGCCCCTGGCGTCCACCGGGAGGAACTTGATCCAGCAGAGAAGTACCACCTCGGCCAGGAAGAGCAGGATGCCCAGGACGGTGGAGAAGCCCCAGGCAAGCTCGATGTAGGGGTGCATGCGCTCGTGCGGTGACTCGCTGATGGAGTTGAGGTTGTGGATGTTGCTAACAGCTTCCACGTTGGGCAGGATGCACGTGCTGATGAGCAGCGCGAACAGGTGCACAGCCACCAGCACCGTAGTGCAGGCGCTGAAGGCGATGAGCAGGGGCTGTGGGTACTGGTACTGTGTCTCCAGCTGCACCTCCACCATGGCTACCTGTGGGCACAGGAGGGGTTGGGTCGGGTGGGCAGGGATGCATCCCGCCATGACCATAAGTGGAGGATAGTAGGGTGGGCTGGGCATGCTAGGCAAGGACTATACTGCAGGGACACGCCTCCAGCCTTAGTCATCAATTTGCCCCAGCTGCCCCCAAGTCTGAGTGAGAACCTGATTTAACGGTGGTAGACTAAGAAAATCCACTAGGCTCACATCCACTTTGGTGGTTTTTCTTTCTTCTTTTAAAAAGTTTTTATTTTAATTATGCATGTTTGTGTGTATATGCATGTGTGCACATATCTCGATCCTGTGTTTATGCAGAGGAAACCCTGCACAAGTTGCTTCTCTTCCTTCTACAATGTGGGTTCCAAGGATCGAACTCAGTCCATCGGGCTTAGCAGCAAACGTCTTTGCCTAGTGGCCCTGATTCTGCTCTAACAGCACACTAGAGGAAACTTCCAGAAGGGATGCAAAGGGCACCAGGAAGCTTCTTAAATGTATCTCCAAATTGCTTCTAGAAGTATCTACAAATAAATAAATAAATAAATAAATAAATAAATAGCTGGGTGTTGGTGGCTCATGCCTTCAACCCAGCACTAGGGGTTGGGGGGGCAGAGGCAGGAGGATCTCTGTGACTTTAAGGCCAGCCTGGTCTACAGAGTGAGTTCTAGGATTGCCAGGGCTACATACACAAACCCTGTGTCAAAAAAACAAAAACCAGTAGAAATGAGTTATTACTATGAGCTCACATGGTATCTAGACCATCAGGATGACCTCTCCTTTAGGCCTGTTGATGCACTCAAGACTGCCATGAAGTCTAGACTGCCCTCCCCACCTCCAGAATGCACACTCCCTGTCTGATCATTCTCAGAACCTGTGTGGAAATCTCACAAGTGACTTAAGCTTTCGTTTGGATGAGGGTTTCCTTGGGTCAGATGCTATAAAGTCTTCCAAAGTTTGGGAAGCAAATGGTCTCAAGGCCTGGGTCCAAAACTGACAGCTGCTCATGGAGTGAGTTCCAAGCCTGTGCCCACAGAGAAAGGGAGCCATCTGCCTGGGGGAGGGGGTGAGGGGGTGTGGCTGGAGGGTGCAGTGCTCGCCTGGCAGATATGTACAAGGCCCTGGGCTCCATCCTCAGCAACCCACACACACACACACACACACACACATTCATATACTGCTACCGGGTTGGGACTGAGTGGTGTGCTCCTTTAATCCAAACACTAGGGAGGAAGAGGGTCTACACAGTGAGTTCAAGGACAGCCTGTCTACACAGTGAGGCCCTGTCTGCAAATAAAAAAATAAAAATGGAAAGGAAATAAGCTCATTATATTAAAGTCCTGTAAAATGTCTCAACTTTCCACAACTAAAACAAACAAAAGGTAGCGCGGAAAATGCAGTTCTGCGCAACTCTGGGGCAGCGAGAGCAAGTCCCAGCTGTAATGGCAGCACCTGATGTCTCACACATTTCTTCCAAGTGAGCTTGAAAGTCCACTGTGAGCTGGGTGTTGGTGGTGCCCGCCTTTAACCCCAGCACTCGGGAGTCAGGGGCAGGTGGATCTCTGTGAGTTCAAGTCAGTCTACACACAGTTCTAAGATAGGCTGGGCTTTGAACTCTGAACCCTGCTGTTCCTGCCTGGTAAGGGCTGAGGTGACAGGAGTGTGACAGCATACCTGTCTGTGCATGCTGAGCAGCTCTCTGCCGCAGAGTCCCTCCCCACACTGCCAACCCCTAGCTCTTTCTGACGGTGACAGTCCCCTGTTCCTTGAAAACAGTGCCAGTCAGAGGAGCCAAACTCTGAATTCTAGTCACACAAATTATTTTGATTCATCCTGAGTATCAGGAGAGAGAGGTAGCTCCAACTTACAGCTTGGCCATGGTGGTGCCTGACTCTCCTCTTTTGTGTGGGATCCCTCGTTCTGTCAGAGATCAAAGCCTCCTTTAGACCCCATGTCTCTACATAGACTGTAACCAGTAAGCCCTGGGGAAGATTAAATGATCTTTGAGGCCAGGCCTGGTGGTGTCAATCGGGAGGCTGAGGCAGGAGGATCATGAATTTGAGGCTACACATTGACACTACACCTGACGATTGCTGTCTCTCCCCACCCCCAAGCATGGTCTGATGGTAGGTCAAACTAGCACTGAACTCACTATGTAGTTGAGGGTGACTTTGAACTTCTGATCCTCCTGCTGGGATTACAGGTAGGCCTGGTGTGTGCAGGGCTGGGGCCTTGTGTATATGAGGCAAGCTCTCTACTCACTGAGATACATCCTCAGCATGATGAAACCACGGGGGAAATAACCAGTGGCAGAGCAATGGTCTGGTACACTCAAGGATGTAGTTTTAGGGGCCGAGAAATAGCTCAGCAGTTAAGAAAACTGTTTGCCACACAACCATGAGAACATTTGTTTGAATCCCAACACTGATGTTAAAGCTGCACCTACTTGAGTCCCGCATTCGGGAGAGACCCTGCCTCAAAGGATTGCCTTTCCATCCAAGTGATGGAAAACAATCTGATGCCCTTTTCTGGCCTCCTGGTGCACATGCATGTGTGCATGTACTCACACACAGAGACACATACACACAAATAAATATTTTTACAAGGTCCTAGGGCTGGGGCTTAAAATGATTGGCCAGGAAGCTTGAGAACTAGAGTTCAGATCCCCAGAACCCATGTAAATGCTGGGTGGGTATGGTGACTCATCTACAATGCTGGCCTGGGAAGGGGAAACAGGATCTGCATATGGTTAGAAAGACTAACTGCATCGGTGGGCTCTGGGTTTGACTGGAAGACCCTGCCTCTGGGGGCTGGAGTGATAACTTGGTGGTTAAGAGCAGTGTCTGCTCTTCCAAAGGACCCAGGTTTGACTGCCAGCACTCACATGGTGGCTCACACCACCTGTAACTCTACTTCCAGGGATCTGAAGCCCTCTTCCAGCCTCCTGGAGCACCAGACACACATACAGGGAAAACATCCACACAAAAAGAAACAGAGAGAGAGAGACTCCACTCAATTAACTAGCTATGTTGGTAGAGAACATGGGGCAATTCTCAATCCCAGTCTTGGGCCTCTGCTCATACATACATGTGCATCCACATACAAGCAAAACATACACACGCACATACATACACACACACACAAACACAGTCATAGACACAAAAAGACAAAAATCAAAATGAAAAAGGCCCTCAGAACAACAAAAGGAAGAAAATAGAAAATAAAAAGAAATAGATTTGATCTCCAGTAACAAACAAACAAAGAAAAAGAGAGGAAAAGGAAAGGGAAAGAAGAAGAAGAAGAAGAAGAAGAAGAAGAAGAAGAAGAAGAAGAAGAAGAAGAAGAAGAAGAAGGCCCAAGTATTGCTCAGAGATGGATGGCCTCTGCCCCATCCTGTGTGGTCTGGTCTTCTGGTCAGAGGGTTTAACTCTCCCAACTGTGGCCCACTCACAACCAAGCATGTTCTGCCACAATGGTTTTCCATGTAGGATGTTTATTTTACATTGCTCTGCTAGTTTGATAACGGAAGTTGTGGAAACAAACTATTATTTGACTTAAGGAAAGAAATCACTTCCTATCCAGTGGTATCCTAGCACAGAGCAGAAAGGGAGACTGAACCCTTACAGCCTGTCCTCTGGCCAATTCCCTGTGGGGCAGGGGGCAGATTTAACTGACTCTTGTCCTGGGATGACTCAGAGAGATGGCGGCAGTCAGGAGCCAGGCTGGAAGCATCGGCCACATTGTCACCAGGGGAAGGCCACATTTGGCCAGCATCTACAGCTCCAGCTGGGCTGGCCACCTGCCATAGTTCCCTGAGTTCCTCAGATTCCCAAACTCATGGGTGATGCCTGAGATGAGGCAAACAAAACACAAAGTTTTCCAGTAAACCCTACTCACTGGAGCTATTTTGTTTGTTTTCTGAGACTGGGTTTCTCTGTGTGTAGCTCTGGCTATCAGGGAACTCGCTCTGTAGACCAGGCTGACCTTGAACTCACAGAGATCCAGCCTGCCTCTGCCTCCCGAGTGCTGGGATTAAAGGTGTGCGCCACCACCGGACTGTGTCTCTTGGGTGTTGGTTATTTTATTTGTTTGTTTTGTGTGTGTGTTCATGTGGAGGGCACAGATTAACTTTGAGATTTGTTCCTCAGATGCTATCCACATTCATTTGTGTGTGAGTGCATGTGTGTGGTGTGAATGTGTGCATGTTTGTTTGTGCACGTGAATGTGGGTGTGCATGTATGAGGAGGCATTCGGGTGATGTTGGGAATCATCCTCAACCATTCTTCCAAGTTGTCCATTGAGGCCAGGGCTCTCAATCAAACCCATAGCTCACCAACGTAGCTAGTTCTGCTAGCCAGTTCGCTCTGAGGACCTCCTCTGTCTCAGCCTCCTGAGGCTGGAATTACTGACAGCCACCATGCTTGCCACATTTGCATGGGTTTCTGGGATCTGAACCCTGGTCCTCAAGCTTGTTCTATAAATGCTGTAACTGCTGAGCCACCTCCCGGCTCTCTGCTTTTTATTTCTTTGTGTGTGTGTGTGTGTGTGTGTGTGTGTGTGTGTGTGTGTGTGTGAGAGAGAGAGAGAGAGAGAGAGAGAGAGAGAGAGAGAGAGAGAGAGAGAGAGAGAGAGTGTGCTGTGGAGGTCAAATGACTTTCCACTGTGAATTCTAGGGACTGAACTCAGGTCCTCGTATTTGCATGGTTAGTACCACTAAGCTGTTTCCATCTTCTTCCCAGTGCTGAGTTTCTAGTCAGGGTTTGGAGAAAAAGTGTTCCCTGGAGCACTGCAAGACACAGTAAACTCATTTGCTGGGACCAGGCTTGCCCAGCCCCCACCCTTGCACTCACCATGGCGAAGCCCGAGAGGAGGGCAGAGGTCCGGCTGGAGGCTTTCAGCTTGGCCCTGCTCAGGTACAGCTTTCTCCAGGACAGTGCCTGCACCGAATGGTGGTTGGAGGTGACCAGCTCCAGGTAGCTGCGTCGGACCCAGTCTCGGTAATCCATGCCCTTGTGGCCCGGCTCAGGGCAGGCAGGGGTGGAGGGATCCATGGGCACATTGAGCTCTGCACTCATGGTGGGAACCAGGCTGGGGGAGGGAGAGACAGGACATGTTGGAGCATCTTAGATGGTTCTTGTGCAAAAACCAGAGTCTGAGGCCTTTTGTGGTTTTTGGTTTTCAATATGTAACCATGTCTTTGTGTGTGTGTGTGTGTGTGTGCCTGTGTGAGTGTATGTGCACGTGTGTGGGTACATGTGCCTGTGTACACGTGTGGAAGCCAGAAGAGGGCATCGGGTGTCCTTCTCTATCACCCTGCCTATTCTTCAGAGGGTCTCCTTTTGAATTAAGGGTTCATCTCCTGCTAAGCTGGAAGCCAGCAAGCGCCAGTGTTCCACTGGGATCCGAACTCCATTCCTCATGATTGAGCAGCAAGCATTCTTACTGGATGGGACCGCTCACTAGCCCTATGCTTTGTTTTAATTGTGTCTACCTTTTTAAGGGGAAAAAAAGATTTATCCATTAGCTATGTGTTGTTGGTATACACCTTTAGTTTCAGCGCAGGGGCAGGCAGATCACAGAGTTCAAGGTCAGCCTGGTTTATAGAGCTAAATCATTGCAGAATAGCCAGGGCTACACAGAGAAACCCTGCCTCAAAAACAAAACAAAACAAAAACCAAAAACAAAACCTTACAAGTGTGTGCCTGTGTATGCTTGTGTATTTGTTAGTGTGTACAAGTGAATGAGTGTGGTACATGTATACAAAAGCCAGATGTTGACACTGTGTGTCTTCAATCACTGTGTCTTGAGACAGGGTCACTTACTGTATCTAGAGTTCACCAATGTGGCTAAAGTGGCTGTCCACCCAGCCCCAGGGACCCTCCTGCCTCCACCTCCCCAGTTTGGAGATTACAGTGCATGCTGCCTTGCACAGCTTGACATGGGTGAACTAGACTCAGGCTTCATGCTTACGTGGCAAGCACTTTATGACTGAGCCATGTCCCCAGCCTGTGCTCTGCTGTGACTCGCTATGTAGACTAGGCTGGCCCCAGACTCACGGTCCTGTCTCAGCGTCTTGAGTGCCATAATTCTAGGCCTACGATACTATGCTTGGCTTCCACGTCCAAATGTAGAGGCATGGGGTCTAAAGGTAGCCCTGGTCTCTAAGGCAGTCTGCAAGCTAGAACACAGCACCCTCTGCAGAAGTCGGGGGTCAGCGTGCAATGGCCAAACTGTTCTCTGTAAAGTTGGCCCGCCTCTCTCCTGATACCCAGGGCAGCACCTATCTGTGAGACTAGAATCCAGAGTTTGACAGCAAGCACCCCCCCCTCCATGGTGTCTTCACGGAATGGGCAACTGACACATTCAGAAAGGGGTTGGTGGTGGGGAAGGGGCTCTACGGTAGAATGCAGCCTAGAATCCACATTGATTATTGGTAGATCCTAAACAAGTGCCCTGCCCCTAAAGCTAGGTCTCAGCCCTCACTGGGGGACTCTAGGCAGAGGCTCTACCCCTGAGCCACACCCCAGCCCCTCACTGGGGGATTCTAAGCAGGCAGGAGTTATACTTTCTGCTCAAACTCTGTCTTTCTGTCTTATATGTGTGTCTGTGCATCATGTGCATACATGGTACCCACAGAGGCTAGAAGGGGACAGATGGTTGTGAGCTGCCATATGGGTACTGAGGATCAAAACAGACCCTCTGGAAGAGCAGCCAGTGCTCTTTCCTGAACCATCTCCCCAGTCTCTTCTGCTCTCCTTTTTACTTTGTATTTTGAGACAGTTTTGCTAAGCTTCTCAGGTTGATCCTCCTGCCTCAGCTTCCGTAATACATGAGATTGCGGGCCTGCTCACCAGGCCTAGTTTCTTGTTGAATGCTTGAACACAATGTCCAAGCTGCTTGCAGTGTGAGGGGGGCATTTCTCAGCAGATACTAGCTTCTCAAATCTAATCTTAAACACCGTAAGTCACCTCCAAAACCTATAGCTACTTTCTAAATTGAGCCACACCAAGGCTGCAATGGGAACCTTTAGCAAAAGGAAAAATGAGACTGGGCGGAGGCAGGAGGTTATAAAGTTGACAGCCATGCTGTGCTATGAAGTATGATGTGTGTGTGTGTGTGTGCATGTGTGCGGCTACAGGGGGATATAAGATGTCTCCCTGTATTGTTTTTCACCTTAATTTTTGAGACAGGCTCTCAGGCTCCTCAGATACTCCCATCTCTGCCCCATGTAGTTGGGATGACAGGCAGGTGCTCATGTCCAGCTTTTAGATAGGCCCTGGGGATTTGAACACAGGTCCTCTTGCTTTTGTAGCAAGTGCTGTTATTAAACTGAACCATCTCTTTAGCTCCTGAACTGGGCTGCATGGAGCCCTGTATCAAAGTGACGTGAGGGCCAGAGAGACAGCTCTGCAGCCTTGCCACCAAGCCTGATGACCCGAGTTTGATCCCTGGAATCTACATTGTGGAGAGACAGAATAGATGCCCACAAGTTGTCCTCTGACCTCCGCACACACACTATGGAATGTGCATTTTTACACCTCCACAAAAGAAAGAAGTGTAAAAGAACTGTGTTTTAAGAGGAGCCTGGCCAGGGTTGCATATAGAGACCCTGTCTCAAAATTAAAAGTGGAGGGGAGGAGGGGGTGGAGAAGAAGAGAGGGAGAATCCATCAACTAACATGAGCATGCTTTATTTTGAGGCAGGGTCTCTCTACATTCCCAGCTGTCCTGGAACTCACTATGTAGCCCAGGCTAGCTCCAAACTCACAGAGCGATCTGCTTGCCTCTGTCCTGAGTGCTGGAATTACAGGTGTGCACCACCACACCCTGCACCCTTTATAGAGACACACAGATCAAAGATCTCTGGGCTCACTCCTAGGAGACTTTGGGTCTGGCAATGACATGTAATGAAGCTCAAGTGTGATCTGTTAAGATGTATATGTATGACGGGCCAGAGAGATGGCACAGTGGTTAAAAGCACACACTGCTCTTCCTGAGGACCTGAGTTCGACTCCTAGCATCCATATCAGGTGGCTCACAACTACTTGTAAGCCCAGGGGAATCTGACCTCTGTGGGCACCTGCATTCATGTGCATAGCCCCCTACATAGATACATAATGAAAATAATAAAACTTAAAAAAAGATGCCTGACTCTAACCTCAAATCTCCACTAAATCTATTGCTGCCAGTCTAGCTAGTTTCTTTCACTCAGGGTAGCCTGTGGCAGCACATTCCAGGTGGTTAATCTCTTCAGGACAAGCCTGAAGGGCAAAGGCATCAGACAACTCTGGTGTTCAGAGCCTAAGGCTGTTAGAGCACAGCCAGGCAGGTTGTGGTACGGTAGGCTTGTCATGTCAGCACTGTGGAGGCTGAGTCAGGAAGAGTGAGCGCTTCAGGCCAGTGTGGGCTGCAGAGTGAGACTGTGTGTGTGTGTGTGTGTGTGTGTGTGTGTGTGTGTGTGTAAGAGACTAACTCTGGTTAGTCTAGCCTAGACTGTCCTATGCAGACAACAAAGCTCTGCCCACCTCTGCCCCTGAGTGCTGGATGACGGCTGGCACCACCACTCCTGGCCTTGGGCCTGTTTACAGGAATGACAACTTGAGGACTAGGGTCACATGCCACCCACACCTGCAGCTAGCAGCACTGTGCCCAATCTCCTCCTCAAGGGATGTTTCCTCTTTTGGAGGAGATTCAGATAAATACTTCTCACCATTCCATGGGTTAGCTCCAAATGACTGAATATGTCACAGTTTGGAAATGAACTCCCCTCCCCCACCTCACCCCTTTACAACACAGAATGAAGCCTGAAGTCTGGGGGAAATAGTACAGAGAGAGAGTTGTGAAAAGCAATCCTTGCTCCCAGTACCCACAGATGCTCATACAACTGTTCTTATACATCAAAGATGAAGGAGGGCCTAGGGTGTGGCTTGGTGGTAGAGCACTTGCCTAGCAAGCATCCTCCAGTGAGGGGCTGGGATGTGGCTCAGAGGTAAAAGGTTTACCCAGCCTTAGGTAGGATCCCCAGCATGGTGTAAAACTGGGCGGAATGGTGCACACCCGAAATCCCAGCACTGGGAAGGTGGAGGCAGGGAGATTAGGAGTTCAAGGCCATCTTCTGCTATAACTTCAAGCTCAGCCTGGGCTGTAGGAGGTTCTGTCTCAAAACAAAAACAAAAGCAGAACAAAACTCAAACAAACAAAAGTTATGGGGAGCCAAGGAAGCCTTGAGTGAACATGTAAGGAGTTGATGGAGTCCTGAGTGAACACATTCTGTTGACAAGGGCCAAGGCCTCAGAGCCGAGCCATGGGAATTGGCAAGCCGTCCTCCAGGTGAAGCTCAGAGGTGTGGCAGCACCTTTCTCCGCTCCAAGTGGATAATAATGTCTACAAATGGCTGACTAGTATGCGGAGAACTGGCAACTGCAGCTTTCCCGCAATCCTTGACACCCTTTGGTGGAATGCAGGGTCAGAGGACTCGGAGGTTGGGGCTGCCGGCCACTTCCCAGGTCCTGCAGCTTCAGGAACTTCCCTAAGGTAGGGGACAGGGACGCAGCCCTGCAGCCCTACAGAGACATCCTACTGAGACTAACCCCTCTCCTTGTACTATACATAACAAACTCACTGAGGTTTCAGGCTGCTGTGTAGCTGCTGCATCAGAGTGGGCATGGCCTGCCTAATCCCAGCTTTTCTGTACCTGGATCTGTGTGTCTGTCCCTTCTTCATTCCCATGTTGCTCTAGTCAGGGTTCTAGGACCAACCCATGCAGGATGAGGTGAAAAACCAAACCAAACAGAAACCCCACGAGAGACTGAATCTCTACCTTCAAAGATTCAAAGACCTCACTGCCCAGTAGGGGAGCCAGACAAATGGGAAACACTCTTACCCAGTTAGCTACCTGCTTCAGTGGTAAGGGGGGAAACAGAAGGACTGGATGCCTGTCACATGCAGACCCACGTTAGAGCATATAGACAGGGGTAGAAAAGACAATGTGGCATAGACAGACCTTCTGGACACTGGAGAGATGGCTCAGGGCATAAAAGCTTATACTGCTCTTGCAGAGGACCAGAGTTAGCTTTCCAGCATTCTGAGTCAGACAGCTCACAAACACCTGTAACTCTAGCTCCAGGAGTCTGATGCCCTCTAGTGGCATCTACAGGCACCTGCACCCATGTGTATGTACATGCCCCACACAAGACACACATATAAGCAAACATAAAAATAAAATCTCAAGCAAAGAAACAAAACCAAAAACAGACCCTCCACCCAAGACAAGACGTTACCCATATGGCGGGTTCTGAGAGGCAGGAAGACGAAGCCATGGTTAGGAAGACTACCATCCTCCTGCGGGTGGGGCATGAAGGTTGGCTGATTGAAAGACAAGGAGACTAAAGACTCTTGAGGTCTAGGGCAGCACCACAGGGCTAGTTGCAGACACACAGTAGGACTATAGTGGACTTTCTTCAGCAATGCGAGGGCATGGGGACATGGTGGGAGACAGGGACGGGAATAGTCACTGTCTACGGTCACTGCCAAGTCTCTCCGTGATAGACTACCTTTAACCCAGTGAAATGGCTTATGGAGGGGCTGGAGAGGTGGCTCAGCCGTTAAGAGCAAACTGCTCTTCCAGAGAACCCAGGTTCCATTCCCAGCACCCATGTGGTGGCTCACAACCATCTGTGACTCCAGTCCCAGGAGATCAAAGGATAGGAAGGACCCATGAGGGAAGATGGCTACCCAGGGGCTGCAAATGATGAAGGTCCTGGGCTCCAGTCTGAGAGTGTGGCTAACCTAGTGTATGCAGACAGCCCCAGAGTGGTTAGGAGTGGGCATGAGAGCTCCTGCCTCCATCTGAGTCTTGAGACACAGCTGCAGGTCCTGTAAGTAGATGAGACACCCTCCACTGTGATTAGCCCAGGAGGTTCAAATCCACTTTCTTTCTTTCTTTCTTTCTTTCTTTCTTTCTTTCTTTCTTTCTTTTTTTTTTTGAGATAGAGACTTATGTAGCCCAGGTTGTCCCAAAATGTAACCAAGGATGGCCTTGAACTCTGGATGCTCCTGTCTCTGTCTCCAAATGCTACAATTACATGCTTGGCTTACATGGTGCTGGGTATTGGACCAGGGCTTTCTGCACGCTAGGCAAATATTCAGCTAACTGAGCTGGATCTGCAGCTCCCACCGGACCTCTTTCCTACCAGTGGTTTTGTTTTGAGGCAGGGTCTTGCTGTGCAGTCCAGGCTGACTTGGAACTTGGGACTGTCCTGTCCCATCTCCTGAGTACTGGGATCATAGGCATGTACCACTGGCCCCCACCTCAAACCCACTCTCTATACTCCTAGGGCCTATCTTGGTCCCTGTGGGGGAGGAGCAGAGTCTGTCTTACACACTCGAAGCTCGGGCTGGAGGGGGAGTGGTGAGACAAGATGGAGCGCACATGTCTGTCTGTCATACAGCACCAGCTCTAAGAATTGCTAGGCAGACTGAAGCTTGCTTTTTTTTTTTTTTTTTTTTTTTTTTTTTTTTTCTATAAAGAGCAGAAGAAAAATGAGGTTTTGTAGAAACAAACGGTGAGACTGCTAACAAGCCATCCTCACGTCAGGCTTGTTTGAAGCAGCAGGTTATGGAGTCTGCCTATTTTAACTTCCTCTAAACATTTGGGGCACGGGAAATGTTTCTTGTCACCTACACGCCTGAGAGGTGCAGCGGCCTGCCAGAATCAGCCACCTGCACTTCCCTCTGTCCCTTACTCTAGGGAAGTCCCTCCTGCTGCAGGACGTGAGAATCAGCTGGCAGCCCCAAGCTCCGAGTCCTCTGACACTGTGCTCAACCAAGGCTAGCAAGGGATTGGGGTCACGCCATCCTGTCCCTTCCTCTCCATCCCATGCCTACGAAGAAGCTCAGTCTCCCCGTTCAAAATCCCTAATCCAAATCCTTCGTGCCCCTAGCTGGGAGGGGACCCTCTTCTGTCCCCGAGACAAAAGAAGGATGAACGCCCCCCCCCCCAGCACTCACCCCGGCTCCCAAGCCCTCAGTGCTTGGCTCCGGCTCCCGCTCGTGGCTGGCGTCTGTGTCGCGGTCGGGTGGCCTTGCGGCCGGGCCAGGGTGGAGGACCGGCCCCCTCCCTCTTTCCGCCCGCAGCCGCTGCCTAGGCAACGGCGCGCCGCCGTCACGTGACCCACCCTTGGGTCCCGCCGCGGACCATGTGACCTGAAGAGCTGGGTGGGGACCTACCTCTCCTCCAAGATCTAGGTGGTCTTCGCCCTAGCAAAGTGCTGTCATCCTCGTGGGGCCCAGGTGGGTAGGTCAGAGCGTGGGAGAGCTCTGCTCCTAGCAGAGTATCAGTAGGGGATGCCCAGCGGCTGTCGTAGGCAGCATGGAGAGGTGGGGACAGGGCGAGAACACTGCAGAGTGGGAAGAGGTAAGCTACGAAGGCTCAGCTTGGCTACATCCTGGTTTACTCAGGTTGTGCAGTGTCGCCATGCACAACTGTGGCCACCCAGGTTGGTTCCAGCAAGACTGAAAACCATATAGTACCCGTGTAAGGGGCATGCACTAATTGCTGAGCTCTGGGCACTTCATGGATGGCACAGAAGGGGCATTTGGACGCTGCGGCGGGGCACGACCTTCCACTCCCTGCTGCAGCCACCCCCCTGCTCTTGTTGGTGAGATCTGAGGTTTTACAACCGAGAAACTCAAGCAGGAACGGTCTCAACAGGAAGTGCACACTAGGTAACTCTGAGAAACAAGAAGGGACAGCATCAGCATCCAGGTGGGTGCCTTGTGGCCCCCCAGACTGCTTCCTATTAGCCTGGGAGGATGCTGCTGCGCACTCTATATAGGATTTTTCCATCTATCGCAATAGTATTGGACTGTGACACATTTACCCAAAGGAAGGAAAAATTCCACTCGTGTCCAAGTTTCCTGATAACTGGGAGAGTAGAGACGCTGACAGCAGTTTCTACTTGAGTCACCGAGCCCATTCACTTAGGACAAGGGAAACCAATCCCTCCCTCCTGGTGCCAACCCACCTGGCAGCACCGGTCCTCACAGGATCTGCTGCTGCCCAGCTCCACTTGTTTTCTCAGGGCAACTACCAGGCGACTTGCCGACCTCAAGTTTGAGCAAATGAAAACAGGAAGGAGACATTTGGTAAACCCCAGCCGTTGCATCATGGATGTCATTCTTTCTGACAAGGGGTTTTTGCTTATTGCGGTTATTAGAAACCCTGGCTTTGGAATGGGATGTAATAGTGCCAGGCAGCAAGGCTTCTCCACCACTAGCACAATTATCTGGCATGCCTGGACAAAAATGAAATGCCAACTGTAATTACCAGTCCTCCGAGGAGCCATTCTGCTAACCAAGCACAGGCAACAGCATTTAGTGTTGTTTGGTTTACTTTGTCCCTAGAATGAAGGGAGCCAGCTATGTATGGTGTCGGGTTTAAAGGCAGGCCCTGGCAGTTGGAGGGTTCCGGGAAGTTGATGAGGGGTTACACAGAAGGAAGGAGGTTCAGGATGCAGGGTCTCTTCTTGGGGCGTTGCAGTGCTATCTGGGCCGTCTGCCTGGAGTTGGTTAGTCTTGGCAAGTTACTTCCTTTACTTAAAAAAAACCTTAATTGCATTTTATTTATTTAGTGGGGGTGGTGTTGTGTGCCAAACACACATGTGGAGGTCAGAGGACAACTTGTGGGAGTCAGCTCTCTCCTTCCACTGTGTGGATTGAACTCAGGGGTCAGGCTTGCCAGCAAGTACTGTTTAGTCACTGAGCCATCTCGCTGGTCCCTGTACTTCTCCTAAAGCTTCAGCCAGCCTGTCTTCAACACCAATTCTTGGACACACATAATGAAAGTATACAGCATATTCTCCCTCAACCAATGAATCCTGTTCCTTGCTTTCCAATGAAGCCTAAGTCTTATACCATAGCATCATCTCATGGTTTGTGTGGTCAGCATGCCCAGTCAACTGACTCTTCACTGTATCCCCGTCACTCACGGTCTACCTGGTGTGCTTCCCTAGCTTGGTCTACTGTAAAAACTTACTATCAAACATCCTAGCACACTGGTCAGACTTTTGCAGTTTAACAGAATGCCTGAGGCTATGTCACAAAGACAAGAAGTTTATTTTGGCTTGCACTTGTGGAGACAGAGGTTCTAGCAGCATGGTGGGAGCCCTACCTGGACTGTCTCATATGGTAAGGATGTGCACCCGTCATGCTGTAGTCTCTCTCTTCCTTATAAAGTCACCAGGATTCAACTGCAGTGGCCCCACCCTAATGACCTAATCACTTTCCAAAGGCCCCACCTCTGAACACATAGGTAGATTACATTCCCACCCTCATAATGCTATTATTTAAAATCTGGGGGATTAAACTGCTTGGGGGGGGCAGCAAATCATAGTACTTACTCTGGCCTTTCTTGTTCACTTACTTTACAGCCCCACCAATCCTCTCCCTGGGTCTTGCTGAGACCCAGCCCTTCTCTCTTCCACCTCCTTCCTCCTGGCTGGGGACCTTCCAGCCACCTCAACCCCCAACACAGGGTTTCTTTGTGCAATAGTCCTGGCTGTCCTAGACGTTTTAGACCAGGCTGGCCTCACTCACCTGCCTCTGCCTCCTGATTGCTGGGATTCAGGGCGTGCACCGCCACCTGGCCAGCTATCTTCTTAACCCCGACCTTCAGATTTCCCCATCTCACTTCTTAGCAGAGCTGGCATCTCTTCCTTCCCCACCCTCAGCAGGCAGTCCACAGGAAGGCCATTCAAGCTGAGAAGGCATCTCAGTGATGTCATGCAGAGTTTGTGTGTTGAGACAGATTCTCCCATGTAGCCCAGGCTAGCCTCAAACTTGCCATGTAGTTAACAGATGGCTTTGAATTTCTGACATTTGTCTTCTCAAGGGCCAGGCTTTATAGGCATGCCCTGCCATGGCTGGTTTGTTTGGTGCTGGGGATGGAACCCAGGGCTTCATGCAGGCAAGCACTCTACCAAATAAATCACACCCTCAGACCCTTTGCTGTCCCCATGATAATTTTCCCCCTTCAAGACAGGGTTTCTCTGTATACCCCTGGCTTCCCTGGAAATCACTCTGTAGACTGGGCTGGCCTTGAACTCACAGAGATCTACTTGCCTCTGCCTCCTGAGTGCACTATCATTGCCCAGCTTCTTTTTTTTTTAAGATTTTAAATTGTGTGTGTGCTCATGCAGTCTCTCTCTCTGTGTCTCTCTGTGTCTCTCTCTCACACACACACTATGCATGTATGCACACACACATTATGCACGCATGCACGCATGTGTAAGGATGCCTGAAGAGGAAGGAAATTAGATCCCCTGGAGCTGGAGTTCCAGGCAGTTGGTTGTGAACTGCCTGCTGTGGGTGCTCACAACTCCGTTCTCTCCAAGGGCAGCAATCTCTCAAAACCACTGAGTCATCTCTCCAGCCCCTACAGCCCATTTTATATCATTCTGGGCTTTTGTCCTCCCTGGCCAGCCAGTCCTTCTGTTCAAAGTCTCTGGACTCTCCCTGACACTTCTGGGGGCGTCACTGCCAGGGCCCTCCCCCTAACTCCCTTCCAGTCCACACTCCATGGTAATAGGTCTCCTTAAGAGGCCCTCGAAGTCCACCAGCATCCGTCTCCACCATACCCCAGCCTCTCACTGAGCACTTGCTTGGCTTTCAGTAAACATTTACTACATTCTACGGAATGAGGAAGCTGAAAAGGGCCTCTCTGGACTCCCTCCAGGTTGATTTCTAAGAGTGTTCTCTTTATGGAAATACATGCTAATATATGGTAATTAAAGCTCACTTTAGTGGAGGACGCCAGAGAGTAAACAGAAATTAAGTTCCAAAGGGGAGAAGGAAAAAGCCTGCTTGGTTCTTGGGCCAGGAGGAAAAGCAGTTTCTACATAACCTCCTGTGCTGCCTTGGGAAGCAGCCAAGGCCCTGGTCCTGCAAAGTCCCAGAAGAGTCACTCCTTGTCATGGTTCATTTTAATTGTTAGGGCTGGAGAGATGGCTCACTGGTAAAGAGCATTTGCTATTCTTCCAGAGGACATGAGCTCTGTTCCCAACACCCACACAATGGCTCACAACCATCTGGAACTCCAGTTCCTGGGGACCCAACACCCTCTTACTGTTCCATGGACACCGGGCATGGGGTGCACATACATACATGCAGGTAAAATATACACACATGTAAAAAACAAAACAAAACAAAAAAACAACAACAAAAAAAACTTGTCCAAAAAAAAAAAAAAAAAAAAAAAAAGTCTGGGAGCTGGAGAGCCCCAAGATCCACGGGGCTCCAAGATCTGACAGCCTCATACAGACATACATGCTGGCAAAACACCACTACACATTAAATAGAAGTCTTGTCAACTTGACACAACTTAGAATCACCAGGAAGTTTCAATGAAGGACTGTCTACTTTGGTTTGGCTTGTGGTCACATATGTGGGAAGCTGTCTTTTTGTTTTTTTTTTTAAGCTTGGCTGTCCTGAACTCTGTAGTCTAGGCTAGCCTAGAATTCACAACAATCCTGCCTCTGCCACCCAAGCACTTGGATTCAAGGTATCCAAGGCAACTTATAAAAGAACACATTTAATTGGGATTTTCTTACACTTTCAGAGGGTTAGTACATGTCTGTCCATCATGGTGTGAAACATGGTGGCAGTCAGGCAGGCAGGCAGGGCAGTAGTTGAGAGCTTACATCTTATCCACAAGATGGAAGCAGAGAGGGTAGAGACTGGGAATGGTGTGGGGTTTTGAAACGTCAAAGCTCACCCCCAGCAATACAACTCCTCCAACAAGGCCACATCTCTTAATCCTTCCTAAACAGTCCACAAGTTAGGAACTGAATATTCAAACACCCTATGGGGGGCATTCTTATTCACACCCTATGTGCTAGGTTCGCCTGAATGTATGTTTGTGCACCAGGTGCATGCCATGCTTCAGACAGCACAAGAAAGATCAGATTCCAAGTCCTCTGAAAGAATAACCACTGCTCTTAGCTGTTGAGCCTTCTCAAGTCCCAAATTGTTCTAAGTTAACTGATGTGGGGAGACCCAGCCCACTGTGAGTGGGATCATTCCCTAGGCACGGGGGAGAAGCAGAGCTCAGCACAGGTGAGCAAGCGTGCATTCATGTC